CACTTTCTTTTAGAAATAGGAGCAAGATATGCATGATTTATCTGAGAAATAGTAATCTAAACTTTTCCCTTCTTCACCTAAGAACCCAAACTCAGAAGCTTTCACCCGTGAAGAACCTGACTTTCCAATGAATAACATCCTCAAATCAAAACCAAATTTAAAAGCAAAAAAAGAAATGTATAGAAAGCCCAAACCCACAACCCAACTACATTTAAAAGCAAACAAATCAGCCCAAGAGATAGAGCAATTGTTCAAAATCTCATACCATATAGGTCGAGTGTGGTTCACAATAGTGCGGAAACGAGGTTTGACATAATCGTAGTATCCACTGTTTTTGTGTTCCTCCTGACACCAAACTAGATCAGCACCTGGATACTTCTGAAGTTCTTCTTTCAGCAAGTCAAAGGGGAATGGTGAGATCTGGAAAGAGAAGGCAATAACTAGCAAAGCTTTCTCTTACCTGGTATTAGCTCATGGTAGAAAAGCCTGTCCCCTGTCAGGTATTTAAACCAACCACTGTAATTAACCATTTAGCACGTAATATAATTGCTATATGTTCTTTAAAGTGAGTCATATTTCTTCAATTGATTTCATGCTGTCAGAAGTGAATACACATATATTGATAGTTGCACTAGTATGAACAGAAGTAGATCATAGTCCAGATCTCCTGCATTCCTCCAGTTTTTCTAGTGAAGAAGCTACGACAAGCCTTTAATTAGTGACTGACAGTATAGCTGCAAAGTGTACTATTCACAACATTTAAACCTAGCAGACTGGATATACAAATTTAAGGTGCCATCATATTGTAACCTTCACTTTGTTACATTGTTCTGGAAAACTCATCAAGCTTTCTGGATCTCATCATCCAGTATACTATTGATGTGTTCCTTCTTCACAAAGCCATGAAGAATCAGGTATCCTGTAAGAAGCAAAGTGCTATAAAAACGCTATCACTAGCCTTTCTGGCAAGTGGTATCTATTTACAAGCAAAGGAACCCCTTGCTGAAACTCTCCACTAAGACCTTATCTTCTGAGGATCAGGGAGCTCACTTGTTCAAGTCTGGTTATGGCTACATGTTTCTCCAGGTCTTGATTCTTTCTCTCTTTCACAAGGTCATAGTATACTTTCCCTGTGCAGAAAATCACACGCTTGACCTCATGTGGTGCATGAGCTGCCAGCCCATTCTCGGGAATCACGCGTTGGAAAGTGGTACCTAGTGAGAGGAAAAATTAGAAAATTGCTCTCAGTGGAACTGCCATGGTGATAGGGCAGCCCAAGTAACACTCCTTTACTGAGCAAGCAGCAGGCTGCCACAGTCACAGCATTCTGCTACCTCTCTATTTCTGCTCTTCAGACCAGTAATTCTGCTAAAGAGACTTGCAACAGTTTAGTTTCAAGAAGGTAAAAGACTGTCAATAATCCTCTCTTTCACACTTAACAAACATTTAACAGTGGATTCTTTTTTAGCTTTGTGTTGTGCATCACATTTTTAACTTTAAATTGACTGGAAAGCTCACCTTTGGTTCAATTTTTTGTCAGAGAATTACCTGAAATAGTTTTTTCTTGCCAAGAGGATCGCAACCATGTAACACTAACACAGGTTTAGAAAATTTTAGAACATTTTCATATAAAAGCATAGCATATATTCATAATGTAACTAAATCTGGCAACTGTAGAAATATTTACTCAATTATAAATTACTGCCACATATTTATGTGATTTAAGCCTCTATTTTAGAGCTAAAACAGCATTAGCCAAAGGAAGAATTAGCATAGCACTGAGCTACATGTATAAGTGATGAAATACAATTTCAGATACACATCCTCACTGCTAGATATCTTTTCCCCTGTGATATCATTTCCCAAGATAACAATTTGCTTGCAATACATTAAACTGGAAGAGGGACTTGATGGCCTAAAAGACTTTTTTCTTTGCTCTCTTATATGATTGATTAGAAGTATTCCCACATTAACCAACAAGGTAGCAGACAGCAGCAGTGTGACCTCCCAATCTGAATCAGCACACCCACTTACCAGGAGAATAAGCTCCTGTTTGAACCATTTATCTTGGGGGAGAAAAAGCAGCAGCGTAAACATATGAAAAAAGGAACTGATTTATGTCAGAACTATCCTGTCTCACTGAACAGCAGAATTCATCATTAAAAAAGACTGAATCTGTGCTTCATTGTGTCAGCCAGAGTCAGTCTTCCTCTCCTTAGCTTTCCGTTACAAACAGAGCAAAAGAGTTAGCTGAGAGTTAGCAATACTTTACTACTTGCTGTCTCTTTCAGCAGGAACATGAAAGTATATTAAAATTCAGTATTAATAAGAAGTTCAGCCACTATTGAGGGCTAGCCTGAAGTAGAGAGGACGTTCAAGACAAAGTGACAACACACAACTCATGCTACAGAGCTTTTAAACTGGAAACCCCAGAACTAAGTATTGTAAGAAGCAATGGGCCCTTCATTCTTCCAAAGGGGCACAGAGCGATTACAACCTGTGCAGCACATGTAGGGGTGAGAGGACAGTACATAAAACTGTTCAATGTTCATATGAGGAGAAAAAGAGTGGAGGAACATCCCTGCAAATTCTGCACTGCTAAGATTAATGGTTGGTTACCAGATAAGCCTGTTAAAATTAAGGATCCATACTTGAAAGCAGATTTTTCAGCAAAAGTCCATGCTAGATCTCACTACAACAGCTCCCCAGAAATTATGCCAAAGGAAAAGGCAAACCCTTCAGGGCAGATTGGCCTCTTCACAGTCTGACACACATCTTGGTGCAGATAATTATTTGTCTATAACCATTTGTCTATGACCTACCAGACACCATTTCATCAAAACTGGATTTAGCTTCTGGATGCCTCAGCAGTGACTTGGGAGTCAAAACAATCAGCTGTAAGATAGAAATTTTTCCAACATTCAAGAGCTGCTTTATCTACATGGTTACAAGTAACATGTGTAACACTGTTCACATAAACCCCAGAAACTGAATACGCTATAGATTAAATTAATGTGAATAGCAAACACAGTAATGTTTTTTTCCTGTTTTGAATAATTATGCAAAAGATTTGCGTAGACTACTCCCTTTAAGGGTTCTCAAAAACTATTTTTAAATGCTTCTTTTTGAGAACAAAATCAAATCAAAGGCTATGAACCAGTAAGACATCCTATGGTTTTATCTTAGGTTTTTGAAGTGCCAGCAATTAGATATGTAGACTACAGTTATGCAACCTGTTAGCTGCACAGTGTCTTGACAAGCTCATCTGAAGGTCTGCACAGACAGAAGGAAATAAAGATGAAAATCAAGTTTAGAATCGCAGTAAGTCATAAGGGAGTTTCATTCCATCAAATCAGTGACTTCAACCTGTGCTTAGTTACGGTTTTTCACCAACAATTCTTGTTCTTTTCAGCAGTGTGTCATAAGCAAATAAAGACCCCTCTTTATGCAAGCGTTAATATACCTAGAATAATCAATCCCATTACAGTAACTTACTGGCTTTCTGAATGGCAGCAAGATCTGTCTTCTGAGGACGTGAAAATAATTGGCTGGAGTCGAACAATTCACCACGATCCAGTTGCATTCATACAGCTGCGAAACTTCAAACTGCTCACTGAACTCCTGAGAGAGGCATTAAGGACATTAGAAAAATGTCTAAAAGATCAGAAAAAAAAAAAAAGACTTGCGTGCCATCCTGTCTCTGACTTTCAGCAACTCCCTTCCTCAAAAAATTTAATTAGCAGATCTCTGCTGAGATTATATTATTAGCCAGGGAGGATGCCTAGAAAGCATTTTTTTCTGTTTCTATTTCTTCCTTAAAATGTATGCAAATAAATGCAAAAAGTTTCCACTAATTTCAGCAAGCTGGGAAGAATCTTGAAATTATAATTCTTTTTTAGGCATATAGCTAACTCTCTCCCATTTCTGGTAGGTGTCCTAACCGCTTAAATTATTTTAATACATTAATTTCATATGGTTTATATTTATGTATTTTACAAATACAGGTTTGGGATTTTTTTAAAATTCTTAAATATATATATATATATTACTTAAGCAGACACATAGGTATAGGTACAATAATCTCATTGCACATCAGAACAGCATCTTACATGATTTCCTGGTCATGGTTTGAGCTCCTACCTATAACTTGCTTATTATATACAACTGATGGTGCTTAAATGTAGTCAATCAAACAGGTCTTTATTCTGCCAGTACACTGACAAAAATCACTTTTAGATGAGGAAGAACATGGCTTTGGAACTATCATTGCCTCAGTGCTCACTTTTTTTTTTTTAGTTGGTGGGCTTTTCAATAAATAATGTATAGCAGTATTTCTTAGGAAATCTGCAGCGGTGAAGTGGATGCCTAGTATCCTGGAGAGCTACGTACTTCATCTGCAGAAAAAAAATGATCAATGTATGAAGGTCTTAGCTGAATGAAATTTAGAAGTTGCTTATTTTCATGCTCCCAGCAGTACAATTTAGCTCCACTGCAAAAAGCCAGGAATAGTCTCACTTGGCCTCCTGTAGAAATTAGCTAGAGACACCTATTTGCAGTAAGCACAGCAATATAAACAAGCAGAATGACTGGCCCTGAGGAACAGCCATAAAAAGATCATGCTGCCAGAGATTAATTGTATATGACCTCAGCTTTGCAATGAAGCAGCACGTACTGCATGCTTGCATTACTTTTACTGGGATCAAGCTAATGTTATACCAAGTCTGAAGCTAAATCTTAACCCACTATGCCTAGCTCCAAGAATGTTTCTTGGAAAAAAAAAAGAAAAATAAATAATAATAAAAAAGAACACGGCCTTTAACAAATCTACTTACTGGATAAGCATCAGAATCATCATTGCTCATTTGCAGAAACCTCTCAGGCCTGGCTGATGAATGCTCTGGACCCTGGTAAAGGTATAATTTAAAACATAAAAAGCCAAATCAGCAGTTAGGCAACAGTTTAGGTCACTCACTGCATGAGCACCTCCTGTCACCCTGGCACCTCTGCAGCAGGCTGCACAGCTGCCTCCCCAGCAAAAGGCACCAACAGCAGCAGTGGTGAGAAGAGAGGACATTCCGCAGAACTGGAATCCTTTGTCTTCCATAAACTGTTTTTATAGAAGAAGACTAGGTTTCACATGGATTTCCAATGTTTTCAGCAGTGCAAGTAATTTCTAGCCTCAGCAGAGATGCACAACAAAGAGAGTGAAAGGGCAGTAGGTCCACGTGGGCACAAGGATGACCTTGCTAATGCAGGGCAACAGGGAGCAGGAGAAATGTCAGGAAGAGAAAACACTGTGTGCCTGCCTCAGGGTACTGCCGTGACTCACACCTCTCTGGGCCAAACCACACTTGCATGCTGAACAGGAGCAAACACCAAGTTAACCATCGACTATCTTTGCTATATTAGCAACAAAAGCAGACTCTGGATCTCCCTTTTAATGCTGTTCAAACAGGACAAAATAACCTAGATGAATGCTTCAGCTAAAATGGATCAAAATATGTGTACATGTCAACTAGCCTATGACTTCTGCCTCCTCGGGAGGTATTTTACATTCTGTCAAAGCACTGAATGCTCACATCTGATGTCTCACTAGCAGTATTCACAGTAATTTCTTTTACTGCACAAACACCGATAGATCCATTTTACACTAGCAAAATATATGTGCTGGTCGCAGACAGTGTCAGGAATAAGGAGTGTAACAGAATCCGGTATCTTTCCTCTCCTGTCCTTGTTTATAAAGGATGAGAGAAAGCTGGACAGAGTATGAAAATGCAGTGTGCTTTTTTATTTATTGCTAATGCTGCCAGCTTTGGCTTGTTCAAGTGGCAGTTACTGTTAGGAAGGACTTTCATTTTGGAGACCATTTTGAAGAATTTTAACCTGAAAACATAAACTATTACACCTCTCAAATCTTTTCATGGATCCTAATCTAACATAAAGAGCTTTTTTTATATGGCCATCTCTCATTATAGCTTCTCCCATTGAATCTTTAACATATGATGTCCAAAATAACTCATTACATTGACAGCTTGCAGTCCACCTTGACTCAACACATCATCCTCCCTGGTTCCAAGTGCAAGCTTCACTTTACTCCATGGGCTAAGGGAATTCAAAGGAAAACACACTCCACTGGCAACAAAGGAGTAACACAGCCAAGAACCGTGCCTTGCCCAACTACTCTTTTGAAGTCTGTCTCCACTTCTGACGTGCCAAATAACCTGGTCATAGATGGGGAAGGGCTTGAGAACAAGCAGCAAAGGCAGCTATGTAGAACTATAGTGCACAGCAGCAGTCCAGCATTGCAAAACCTTTGCTGTACACATCCATCTGCTGTAAACCAAATCCTGTGCGAAGTACAACCTATACATGCACAAACACCGTGCTTCACAAGCACATGGAATTCAGAACGCTGGAAACAGATGTTCCTAGCAAATGATGATAGAAGAGACACACGTGGCTTCCCTAACGTACACCCACGCGCTGCCCCAGCAACAACCTCAACCCAGAGCCTCGACGCTCACATCCATCTCTGGTGTCTCTGCTGATGCTACCAGCAGATTACCAGCAACTGCTGCGTGGGATGGGGCAGGGTTTATTTCTACTGTGACCACCTACCCAGCCAGACTTCTACTGAACCCATTAGCTACTTTCAGATGAGTCCCCAAGGAGCCACTAGGCAGCAGAGTCTTTCAATCACAGCCAACTTGCCTGTGAGTGCATGACCTAGAGGTGACGGGATCCATATCCCATTACGAATCCTACCCCAAATCATTCCATCCCCAGCACTGTAGTTATAGAGAGAATAACATTCCCGTAATGGAAAGCTCCTCTGGGAAGCTAATGGATTTCAACAGCCTGGTAGAATTCTTAAATATTCCAAAAAAACCTGACACAAGTAGCAAAATAAGCACATTTCAGGAGATCTGGGCAAGTCTTAGCTTGCCAAGTGGCTAAGAGAAAAAAAAAGATTAAATGTATTGTAAGTAGCAGAGAACCAGCTCCCTTCAGCCGAGTGCTTCCCTGCAGAGTATTACACCTCCTGCTGAGGGAACATTCAGGCTGTCCCTCAGGATTCTTTAAAAAAAATTTAATTTATCAAAACTCTTGTGAACGGCATCAGATCCTTTATTCTTTAGACACAAATGGGTATAGAAAGCCACTCGCAAGATATGAATGCACCCCAATATATCAGGACAGGATTATAATTGAATGGAAATAAAATAAACTGTTTGTGAGAATGGAAATGATGCAGTTTATAGCGAAAGGCTCTAGAGCATTAATAGAGATGTGATTGCCACTGTGGCACATACAATGCTTTTCTCAACAGAAAACTAGAAACATACATACATCAATTCATGAATGTTAATGCAGCTGAAAAGGAGCAAATTAACCTAGCCTGACATGAAGTTCATGTAACCTTTAAAAATAATTTAAAAGATTTCCAGACTGTACTGCTGATATGAACTTCATCTAACATTATATACAGAGTGTGCTCATGCCCTTTCCCTCTAAGACGTTGTCTAGTCCCTCTTACTCGCCAAAGAGAAGAGAGTCAGCAACTAGTGGAAACATTTTCCTTTTCAGAAAGAAGGCAATCTCTCACTGTATCAAAGTTACCCAACATCAAAGATTTCTGAAGAAGTTTTAAAGTTGTATCATTTCACTGAGAGAGAATTTAGTGAAGTGTTTACACAGACACAATTCACGCAAAATAAAATCAAGCAAGTACCGCTAGACACTAATGATTTTTTTTTTCTAGGGAAAGAAAAAAAAAAGAGACAAAAAAAGAGAAAAAAAGAAAAAAATGGGGTAAGAGTGGTACATGCCACTAGAAAGGACATAAAGCTAGGAGCTCTGACATATCTCTCAGGTGATTTAGGTTCTCACCAATCAATCAATTTACATTCTTTCCTGTGGCACTGAAGCCGACCAACACGCTAAAGAGTGTCTTCCTCCTCCCCGTTTCCTATCATCATCGGATCCCCAAGACACCTTTGGCTTCTACAGCCGCAGAGGAAGGCACGGTAGCCAGCACTACCCTCCCACACGTGCCAGCCCATGGCCCTCACCATTCCCTCCATCCCGTGTGGCAAGAGCAGGACGATGCCATTGTGACGAACCCACTTGGCCTGGCCGCAGCTGATGAACTGGTCGATGATACACTGTGCTGTGTTGTGGAAGTCACCAAACTGAGCCTCCCAGCACACCAGGGCATTGGGACTCGCCATAGCGAAGCCAAGTTCAAAGCCTGAGAAGCAAACAAGTAGGAGAGTTAGAAAAGAAACGAGCTTACTGCGAATTATGTTTATTTCTCATTAAAAAACCCCCAACAAAACAGAATGAGAGCATGAACTGGGTTGCTGTGGACCTACTATAAACCATGCTGGTTTTCGGTAGTATTGTTTCCATTGCAAAGATTAGCAAATAACATTTTTCCAATCCTGACTCAAATCATTCAAACTTTTCCTCAAACATTTAAATATCAGGAGTTTTTATATTAACAACTAAAACCCCTCCCTCAGCTCAGACTTCCATGTGGCTTTTTCCCAAGAGCTCACTGAGGTAGGTCCCATCTTTTCCTGTAAAAATCCACTTACAGCCCCTTACTAGTTTAAGAAGCTACTTGCATTACTTGCACAGCTGTGCACAGCGTTGTCTCTTTTTTCCCCCACTCATATGCAGGTGCTAAACAAAATTATTTGGGATATCAATCCTCAGCGAACAGGCAGTATCATAGTCTTTGTTATTTTAAAAGAAAGATTTGAATAGGCGTATGGGAGACACAGTTTATCTCCCTGGCCCCCAACCTCCCCCAACCTCCAGGCATAAGAGTACTGTATATTGAATTTAGACAGAAATGCACCTAAGATTGGCATTTGGGGTGCAGAGACAAAATCCTTCATATCTGAGAGGACAGCACACCTACCTAGAGATACTATACATTAATTTGGGTATCTCTTTCTTTTTTAACTTGCATACATTCTCAGGAGTACAGGACAAAAACACAGAAATCTGTAAATCCTCATATTGTGGATAATATTTCCCTATCCCCAAAGGTGACTATGAGCCCAAACACAATTATAAGTCAGGTACTTAATATGCTCCTAAATATTGTATATCACTAACATCCAATATCGCTTTGTGACCATCAACATTTAGTAAACTGCAGTAAACTGTTGTGAACCCATGAAAAAACCCAAAGTCACTGGAACAACAGTTTCTGACTCTCATCAAACCCACTGTGTAACTCTTCTAATGAGAAAAGTTCCATCAACTAAAAAACTCTCAGGTTTCCTGGAAGAGGAACCTTACCATCTTGACATCCTCCACACACAGAAGGCTACTGCTACAGGGTCACCAGCAACTGACATCTCTCATAGACATCTCATAGATTAATCGTTTGTGATTTATACCCTTGTGACTGGATGCAGGAGTCCCTCTAGAATTCCCTTTGCAGAATTCAGTGGATAAGAACTATAATACCAAAAAATGTACAAGCAATGATAGGAAAATACCTAAAATACCTTTAAGATGCCTGGCATTCCAGGCATACAAAAAATAAATTAATATATTATGAGACAGAAAAGAACAACATGTGGCACATACAGCATATGAGTTACTTTAATGTTATCAGAGCCATCGCACTGTCTGCTCTTTTCTATGGGTCTGAATCATGGGTCATCTACCGCCACCACCTGCGACTCCTCGAACGCTCCCATCAGCGCTGCCTCCGTACAATCCTAAACACCCACTGGACTGACTACGTGACTGATGTTACTGTCCTTGAAAGGGCAGGGGTCACCAGTGTTGAGGCCGTGCTGCTGAGGACGCAGCTGCGCTGGGCAGGGCACGTCTCCAGGATGGAGGATCACCGCCTCCCTAGGCTTGTGCTCTGTGGTGAACTCGCCACCAGCTGCCGCAACAGAAGAGCCCCAAAGAGCTCTTCTGAAACAAGGACTCTCTGAAACAATACCTCAGTTTTGGCCATATTGACTACCATCAGTGGTCAACTCTGGCCTCCAACTGGGAGATGTGGAGACACACCATCCATAACGCTGTTGCCTCCTTTGAGAACGCACATAGAATTACTCTTGAGGAGAAAAGACAAAGCAGAAAGAACCGTGCCTCCCCAATACCGCCTAAGGAGATTTTAGTCCGCTAAAGTCCGCTGTGCCTTTTGCAACCGGACTTGCCTATCCCGCATCGGCCTTTTTAGCCATCAGCGCGCTTGTAGCAAGTGTGGGTAGAGCCCTTCCCACATCTTCGTTCGCAAAGCCCAGCCATGATGATGATCCCTGCAAGGTAATTGACTTAGCTATGGGAGAAGATTTCAGGATTAAGTCAAACCTATTCAAACCTTCTTTGTCCTTTTCCACTTTTGTTCAACTATTACTTTATAATCATAGAATCATAGAATCATAGAATGGCCTAGGCTGGAAGGGACCTTAGAGATCATCTAGTCCAACCTCCCTGTCATGGGCAGGGACGCCACCTCCCGACTAGACCAGGCAACACATGGGGACCGAGAAGGAATCGAACCCACAACCTCCGTGTTGTCATTTTTGTCAGCACCGCTGCTCAAATGTTCACTATCAGAGAGATACTCAGAGCTCTAAGATAAGATAGAGGTCTTCCTGTGCTGGATGCCACAAACATACACAAGTAGGACCTTCCCTGAAAGGCTGACTGTCAAACTGGTGAAAAAATTAAAATAAAAATGAGAGTGAAAGACAACATTTTCACCTTATAAAATTGAGAATTAATGAACATGCAGTTACAGGAAGTTTAAACTAACTTGTCCAGTTCCACAAGGAAAACTCTCAACAAAACCAGTGAGCACAGGTATGTATCAAATAAGTCTCCCTGTAACATCAGCTTCCAGCACTTGATGTGAAGTTTTAACATGAGTCATCCATGAATGAAACTAAACCAGCTTCAGCTTAACTCAATGATTACAGCTAAACTGGGACTATAGGAATTTCTTTCTTCTGCTCTGGGAACAGGCTCTTCATCCAACGTCATTATACAAACCTTCCTGGAAGGTTAGCAGGACAACTGCAGGCCAAATTAACTGCATGAGAGAAAATGCAATGAGAGCTTCAAGTGAAATTGTTTCTTCACAGAAGAAACAATTTTTCATACCATTTTTGTAGTGGGTCTTAATAGTTGACTCCTTGGTAATTCCAATGCAGCTTTTTGTTTACCATTTCCATGGCAAGAAATGTTTGAGTCACTTGGCTTCCGGACTGCTGAACTCTGAACAATCCACGCGTGACTCCAGCAGATGCTCATGCTCACACCAAAAGGCAACCGCTAAGTTAGAGGCCAAAAGGAGACCGGTACGTCAGACAGACGGCCTTTCATCTGTGAGTCACCATGACAGCGTGTTACCGAAGGACATGGCTTTTGCTGACCACTCCTTTGGCTTGATGGCCTGAACGCCCTTTCTTTCTGAGTATCTTTTAAATTTATGTCCTCCTTACTTGTGTGATTCTATTGTTTTTAACACAGTACAAACAGTGGAAAGATTTACACAACTCCTTTAGTGCATGTTCCCAAAGGTATCTGAAAAACAGATTTCCCTAGATAGGCTTGAATCCCATCCTAATTTTACACAAGCATTAAGAGACCATTTCTACTGATTGGGTGACATGGTTGAGAAAATATGCAATATGTTCAAGACTTATTTGTGCATTTGTTGCTCTCTGTAAGGATGGGGTAATCCAGCTTTTAGAGAACAAGCAGAGGTCTTGACCGCTTGGAGTTACCAATAATCTCACAGTGCTTTTAAAAGAGTAAACATATTTACTTGGTAAGAGCACGCACATAATTCTGTTTCAGATATCAAAATCAACCCTAAAATTCACATGGAAGAACGTAAGTTCTCATTTCCTATCTTGCCTACTTTTTGCTAATAATCCCCACGGGATGACAATGTCCCACGTGAAGCTGCCTTTAAAGGTGTGATCCTAACACATATGCCTTTCTGCACGTTTTCTGACATCCATAAAAATATCTGGGAAAATATATTAAAATGTAATCTATACATTCTGATTAATATTTTGAAATTAATTCTGCCAAGAGTACTATTTCATGGAACATGTGTCTGTGGTATATTTATCTTTGGTATATCAGAACTCATTTTCCACCAGCCAAAACACCATTAGAGTTCCTAATATTAAAGCTATTCCACCAGCAAATACAGCAACTGCTAGGCAGTCTGTCAAAAATCACTATTCTTACCTGCACATGGAGAATATAATTTAGAGAGCAAGAACTGAACTGCTAAATTAAAAAAAAAAAAAAGAAAAAATGTTGGCAAGACATCTAGTCAGATGCAAGGTAAACAACCCAAAAGAGGGTGAGGTGCTTCTCCTCAAAGGGATTTGTTGGGGCACCAGAGGAGTCAAGGTCAGGGTAGGTGACCTGAGCGAGAAAGACTCCACAGCTCTAGAGATGGGACATGAACTGCAAGGGAGTAGGTGCCTCCCCAGGCCCCTCACGACAGCTCAACCTCAGAGCAGAGTAAAGGGTGAAAAAAAACTGCAGTAGAGACATAGAAAACTTCTATTGTTTGTATCTGCAGAGACAAGAACTGAACATTTCCGGAGAATGCCAACTTTGGGAGTTTGAGGGATTAACTTTTCAACACCTAGAAACACAGAGAACAGGTTTAAGCTGTGAGAAAATCCAGTGCCAAGAGAATCAGAATGCAAGATGTAGCTTTCAAAGAACAACAGGTAAAGAATTTGCACACTCAAAAGGTGGCAGAGAGCCACCAGCCAGGTCCCGAATGCCAGGCAGCCAGTCAGGGCTCAGAGTACACAAGGGCACAGGGGACAAGGGCCCATCACAGCAGTTGGGTAAACCTCCGAACTGAGGGGAGAGAAGAAAGAAAAAAAATAGAGCACTTGACTGAGGTTGCAAAACTAAAGTTTTAATTGCTGAAGTTCATTAAAGTCCCTAGATGACAAGCATAGCAGAAGCGCTTGTTTCTATTAGCCCGCTTCCTGCTGTGCTCCCTTACTGTTCTTTCATCACTGTGGCAGAGGAAGAGGTTTTGTAAGGCAAAGTGGCAGCTTACACAGCATATTACGCTGTGCTTTCCCCCCCAGCACATTTCATGATTGTCCTAAGAAGTGTAGTTTTTCAATTAACATAAGTAAGGCTATAGCTTAATTCAATATGATTTCAAAGTGACTTAAGGCATGAATGTTAATTAATGGTTACAGGCGGCTTATGAGTGCAGGGATTTAATGTCAGAATGAGAAAAGCTACCAAGACAGATTTGTGCTATGTTTAACAGAAAAACTAAGCATAGGAACTAATGGAGGGACGTGCATTCTTTCACAAACCGAAACAGCGCAGAAGAAACTGAAGTTAATACCCATCTGCTGGCTGACTATTAAACAGAAAGACTGATGCCTTCTTTGAGCTCTGCAGAGATGCCATTGAGAACTTGGTCCTTGATTACTTGCCTGTCCTATTTCCTGACAATTTCTGACAGGTAATTGTATTTTCTACTCCTAACCTTAAAAATGTTGTTCTGAATGAGTAGTACTACTACATATTTCATCCTAGGAGTGTTTTGCAAAAAGGAGTTTACATCCATACCTGTCCACTACCCTAACCCCTAACCTTCCACCTTGAAAAAGCTGTACTCCAGCTCTCATCGTTCAGCAGTTTGCTGAACTACACACTGGTCTATCTTGCCTGGATGTTCCCTGGATGTTTGCAGTACAGGCTCCTACAAGCCCAAGACCTCTCAAAGCCAACAGTGAACCTCAGAGAGAATCACACCTCCTGGACAGAGAATCAACACTACAAAAGTAATTTATTTTGAGGGCAGTAAGGAAAGACAGGGAGACAGCGGATCTTTTAAAGCATTTTAAAAAAACAGAACTAAAAAACCCCCACCACGCTGAAGGGGCAGCACAGAGTGCCTGTAAGTTACTTTTGCTTTTCTCCTCATCTCAATCAACAAATAAGCTCAAACTTTTTTTTGCTTAAATGGCTTCACACAGCCATAACTTATACTCTCAGACATTCAGTAAAATGGAAAACTTATAGCTGGACAAGTGGATGCACAACTAAATTGTAATAATCTGGATACAGCTAAAAATAGTAGACATAAGGCGTCAGACAAAATTATCAGAGGTTGTTAAACACTCTGGTTTAATGCCTCAGTACACACACTCTGCAGCTTCCTGTATACAAAACATAAGCAATTGTTTGAACTACAAGTTAACAAACACTACCTTTGTTTTGTTTCTAAGTAAATCAATCTCGTCAGAGTATCCTTTTAATGGAGCAGCTATATCCCAGGTGTTCCTAAACAGCTCAACAATAACTTGGTGCAAAGCTCACAGCTCGGAACAGATGCCAGCTCTTGGTTTATGTACCTGCCAAGGAAATAACCCGTAGTTATATCATTCTGGGCTGTTCATTTTTATTTAGCTCTAATTCACAGAAACTAAGGGAAATCTCAAAATGCTGCATGTTAAGGCAGCATTTTTCTTCCTTTTTTCTCCCCCCTTTATATCACCTCAGAACCCTCCCACCCATCGCCAAATACTTTGAGGCACTAATCCCAAATCATTCCTTGCAGCAGGCTTATGGAGTAGAAGCAGCAGTTAGAGAAAATACTTCTGAATAATCAACTCCTTGAACTGCAGGCATTCACTTAGTCTTCCATGTAGTAAAAAAAGAGATCCGGTGATGTCACCAGGCAATCAGGTGAACAATTCTAACCTCTTCTTTGACTGAGATGCTTAACTAGAAGATACATGTTCACACACTGCTGCTTAGCCCAACACCAGCTCTCTATGGATACAATACACAAGAGTAAACATGTTGGAAAAGGTTGATATGTAAAAGCTAGCAAGGGAGAGGAAACTTAATTATAAAATAACCTCATAGAAACATGGCATTTTTAGTAAAACAAAGTAAAACATCACTTATCAACTATTTTATCAATTTAACCTCATTTACTGTTAGAAAATATTTCAGACATGAGGGATTTAAAGTTCTTAGAAATTAAAAATATCAATATTATTAGTTTTGAAGAACCTGTCATCTTATCTGCTAAAGTAGAAATGCACAGAAATAGTACTCTTGCTCTCAGTGTATGGACAAACTTGTATATTTGCCCTATTGCTTGTATGCCAAAGTTACTAAATCAACTTTCACACTTCTGTTGCCGCGGAAGGTGGAAGAGCAATAGCGAGCAGGGCGATATCAAGAAAGAAAGAGAGAGAACTCACTTAGTTAATTTGTTAAAGAAGAGAATTGTGAAAATAACAACTGCCCTTTGCACCATCTCAACACTAGGTTTCCTAGACCTATTGAGTTGCAATTTTTGGAACAGAATCAGATTTTAACCACATCCAGACATTTGTCACTTGCACTATTGAATACATTATTTGAAAGTAATAATAATAAATTTTTAAAAAGACCCAGAAATCTATGACCCATTTACCCACAAAATTTGCAGCAACACTACAGACAGGCTCAAGTTAAGAAATCCCAGATCAAACTGTGACAAACAATAAGAACTTAGAAATAAACAAAGCATAATCTCAATTCCTGCTTTTTATCTGTGCAAATTGTTTTTCTGATGTTTACAGACATCCTCTCTTGCACCCTCCTATTTAGAACTCACATTTATGTGTTACTATATTAGCTTGCAGATACAAACTTCTGTTTACATTGATTCTGCCACAGAGCTAACAAAAATATCTAAAAAATCTCAGCTCTTCAGCCCATGCTCCAACTACACCATACTACTACTTTACATCTTACTACTTTTAATTTTAGTATTATTAGCATTAGGTAATATGTAGCATATGAAAAAATGACTACGTGATCAAATATTTCTGGAATTTTGAAGTAAATAGCTATCAATTACTATCTTTATCTACTACAGTGTTTCATCTTTTTCCTTCACATTAGCTCCAAAATGGATATGAAACAATATTTCATTATTTATCCACACAATCAACAACATTTTTGATAAATTATTAGATATTTGTGTTGTGCTCTACATTCCTCTTGCCACCCTCATCATGTCAGAGTGAGGTCATCCATTTCCTGCGGCTGAAGGTAAAACCTCTGTCCAGTACCAAGAATATAATTCACTATGATTAATGCTATCACTAACAAGAATTTATTTTCTTGAAATAGCGCATTCAGAATAGTACTTCAGATAAGGCAAGGATGGATTTTCACATCTGTATTACAAAGTGTCCCTGATTATTTTTAACAGTTCCTCCCCTTTTGAGAAAGCATTAGGTGCATGTTCCAGCACTGCCAGGATCAACTAGAACATTGTAAAATGTAAAGATGATTGTTTAAGAGATGCCAGCACCTGAGAGGGTTTCATATGTAATTATTTTACAGCTTTTTTCCATATTTTCTTTTCTGCTGAGTTCTGCTTCTTGTATAGCTACGCTTGTATAGTCTCTGAAATTCACCTTCTCTCATTATTATGTAATTTCCTGTTGAAAACTAACAAGACCAATGCAAGTATATTCTGTGGCTTTTCTACCAAAAGCTGCTGAAGTCTCCCAATTCACAGGTTTGAAGTACAAGCAAGTTCCAAGCAGCCTACACACCCATGCATCGTTTCAAGAGAGTAGAACAGTTCTGCACTGCAAACGCATGACACCTGCAAATTCATGTCTAACACCACAGGCAAAACACATTCAAAAACTAAAAAAAAACCACAAAAAAGAACAAACCCCACAAATAAACACACACCCCGTTGAAGCTTTCCCTCCTAAATTTTAATTTATTCTAGAATGTTAAAACTAAAATATACATAAAACCTGAGACTGATCATAGCACCCTGTAAGAAAAAAAATAGGTGCTTGCCTTGAAGTTTATACTACAACGACTTCTTTTAAAAAAAAACCCTTTAAGGTAATTAGACAATAAGGGTCAAATCTGACGATGAATAGGATAAATTCATTGAATCTCTGCATAGAATTACTTTTTTCAGGGAATGGGGGAAAATCAGTTTAGGCATTTGGGCTGGATTTTAAGCCGCTGTTCTGCAGTTCCTGGCTCCCACCTGATACAAAACTGTTACAGATGTGATGACGTATAACTCACACTGCATGTAGTATAATGAATAAAGCACAACGACAAGTTTGTTTAGTATTAAATGCCACTAGCAGCAGGAGATGTTTGTTTTGAGACTTGGCAAACTCAAGTCACAGAGCAAAACTTTACAGCTAGAAGACTTAACCACCTTAAAGAAAAGTCTGAAAAAAGCTCCTTTAATTATCAGTCATCACTTCCTACACTTTGTTTGAGACCTATTAAAGCAGGAGCAGATCTGTCGATAACTGCCCTGAGACATACCTAAGACACCGTATTCGGAAAGGGAGCTGTTGCACACAGTGTAGGGGGCCTGCTGCTCCCAGAGGTGATTCATGGGAACACACGTTCTCTTGTCAACCTCTTGATCGTGAAGCACGTGATGACGATGGCTGCAAAGAGATGTTAGAAGAAAATTTATTAGCCAAGAATAACTTCCGGCTTTAGCAGAGCTATTTTCAAAGATAAACTGCCAAAGCTCCGTTCTGGCAAGCACAAAAGCAACTCGGTTCTCTTTGCTTTACACATCACCCTGGCTTGGCTGAAACTACGAGAAGCAACTGCATGTCTCCAACGCAACTGCTGAGCTATAAGGACTTTCACTGACTAGCAGGCTTGTTCTCACACATTCATGGAAACTCAAAATACCTCAGGAATAGTAGAATTGGACAGAAGAGAGGAAGGGGTGGGGAAATTGTTGCTATAAACCAGATCAATTAAAGTAAACAAAAAAATATAAGAACAAGATTGTTATTAAAAACACTTCACTCTGCCTCCCTGGCAAACTCTATTAATCTTTTCCTTAAAACAATCGTTTGTCTTCTATGCAAAAACATAACCCAATCTAATCTTAGCACCAAGATTCGAAGCAGTTGTGTCCTCTTTCCTGCTTATTTCCACTCACACAAACTATCTACAGTCCTCTAGAACACCATTAATCAGCATTAGAAAGGGGCACACAGGAACACTACCAAAACAGAGATGACTGAAGTAATTACTGTAATCCATTAACTCTCTCAGCAGACTAACTGAGTGCATCACACCAATATGTCCAGCTTTACAACTGCTAACATAAGGACAACTGTTACACTGCTAACAACTGAATACTGCCAACACTGAACTGAAGACTGAATCTTCCTATACTTCCCCTTGCTATAGCAAAGGCTAGCAAGACCTCCAAAATTTATTTACAAGTCAACAATCTAAGGCCAGGAAAAGATAAAAACTTTGAAGAACAGCACACAGAGGGAAGTAGATAGAAAGGGAAAAATACACATGCCAGACAGCTGTGAGGCAACAGTCATTCTTGCCACTGTCATTTTATTTTTGGCATTCAGCCTAAGACAGAAAGCCTAGCTAGGCCATCAGCTTTTGAGCACAAAGTTCTGTTTTCCCAGCAAAAGGTCATTAAAATGAGCTTAGATGGACAGCCAGAAATACAGAGACATAAAAGTCAGACACTGCTGTTTCACAAGTGTCAGGTTTACTGACATCAAACCAGTACAGAATCAACTCTCTCGCCCTTTTTCTCCCTTCTCCAGAGTGTGTCTCCAAGATGAGAAGGGACTCAGTCCTTCTAGCTGCAGCTTTATGTAGCTTGTCTCTTGATAATGCCGAGTACTGAAATAGGAAGAAAGCAAGCCATCACATTGAAAACCGACAGAAAGTAGTTTTCTAGACATCACTTCAAAAGCTCCAAAACAGCGAAAGCACTCCCATCATGCTGTTCTCATTATGGCAACACAGTATCTTCAGTTCTTCCCAAATTCTAGTTGATACTCCCTCTTCAATTAGTCCCAGAGATTTGAGACATTATGTACTTTAAAGATTTTGAGGGTTAAAGAAGGCTCTTCTCAGAACAGGGAGATGATAACATGATATATAATTTCTATGTGTTTGCAATGTGCTTTTTTCAACAAAACTTGCAACTGCAGTATCTCTTAGATGTGCCTGTACCACAAGTTAACTTTTCTAACTATTCCTTTGATGAAATGAGCCTGGATATGTATGATAGGCTAAGTCTCACACATTTCTACAGTGTTCTTTTCTGTTTAAAGAGTGGCTGAATACTCTGACTTTCTCAGGTCTGAGATATTTTTTTAATGTCACCCTTTATTGTCCAAAGGCCCTATCACATTCATAACAAAAATTCATTTTGTAGATGCCACTTACACATCAGGCAAACTCAAAACCCAGTGGTACAGCAGAACCAGGTTACTGTAAATCAAATATTTGCACTACCAGCTTTAGTCTTCTTTGCAAGAATTTATCTGAATGCCTTGTTACTTCTTTTCTAAAAGACTGAAGAATAAAAGCCAGACGACACAGAAATCCTTAGCTAGTCTTTACCAGTCCAAATAGCTTTTTCTTTGAACACATATTTTATTTTTTCCCTATATTGCTGTGAGCATAACAATTATTTTTATCTTAAATTTATCAAGAAAATCCAGACGATAGTTTTGTAAAGTCATCTTCTACCAGTGAGAGAACTGGGAATACAGAGAATCAGTATTGCCAAGACAAGTCTATAGGCATGAGCAAAATATGACTGGAGTGCTCACCTGAAACAGGTTGCTAAGCAATGAAGATGTGTCCAGGAGATGCTCACCACTTTGTAAGATCATGGTATTGAAATCAAGAAGGATTAGAAATCAGGAGCATTGTGAAAAAAAATCTCCTGATTTTCAGTTTTGTTTTCAGGGATTTTGTTAAACTGTCATTAGAAGGAGAGCAAAAAGAAGAAAGCCCAAAAGACTGGATAACAAATGAAGCTCAGCACAGAAGAGAACTGTACCAGAGAAGACAGGCACCGAGATTTATATCTCTTTTCTGCAGTATTCACAATGAAGCACAGTACAGCTGCTAGTTCATTCACTCCCAGCAATGGGCTTCGCATCAAAGGCTTCAATTAAATACATCATTAACATTTTACTCCACAGAGAATCAGGTAAGGCAGCAGAACTGCATATATTTTACCAAGTGATCAGATTCTGAGTTCATTCATGCTCCTTAGTAATTAAATGTTTCGGTACAAAGGATCGTATTTCACTTTTTAAAGCCTTGCCAACTGGGAACATGTTTGTTCCCAGGATAGCTGAGTTCCAAGCAGCCACCGCTGGAATGGTATTTAAAAGACTCTAGAATCTGCAGCAGCAAGTATCCTTCTTTTACTTCTCAGCAATTACATGTATTGCAGCTGAATTTTTAGTTAAAAAGCAGAAAAAATAATTTCTGCTTTTCAGCAATAGAAGGAAGAAAGTATCTAGAGAACATTTGTTCTGCCTTGAATAGAATTCTTTAAAATGCTGTTTACAGAGAATAGATTTGATTATTTTTGACTGCCGGACTCTATAATGTTTAGAATGATACTGTATATCCTCAGCTTCCCCATCCCCATAGAAGACCATATCGTTAAAAAAAGCCGATGTGTTTCCTTAACTATGGGACAGCATTTAACAGCTATCTCAGTACTCACCTAAAAGTACCCCTCTCCACATCCTGTCCACTTAGTCGGACGTGGATGCCTTCTTTCAGGAAAGACCCAAAAGCCATGTACTCTGCTAAGGCCCAGTCAACAACTCTGTTCTTGGTCATTTCCAAGCGGGCTCTCAAAATCCGAGAGAGTCCTATAATGAAATAAAAATCAGAAATCAATGGATCTGCTTCAGGGATCTTTTATATTCGCATTACATTCTCCTTCCTCACTAAATTTAAACACAGATTGTAACAGGGTCTACAAATTATTCTTATAGAACTGAACAGTTAGCATGGCAAAATAACTTTTTTTCCCAGGCAAAGGGTTGCATAATGTTCATACCTTGCTTTAGAAGAAAAAAAATAAGATTGGCTAAGTCAGAAACTACCAAGGACAATTAAAAAGACTCACGCTAATGTATTTCTTCCTAAAGACTTATTTTCACATCCCTAATACCAAGTACTGCTTTATAAGAGACTGAAAATATCAGCTATTGGGTTCAAGACTTTTTCTTCTCTCTCACACTTTATCTTGGCTTATTGGACTTTCTGAAGATGTTACAAAGTGAAACAGGATGAATTAATCAATACTACAAATCTCATATAAATAGGAAACTATAGCAGCTGCCAACAAATTCCAAGTTAGTAACCAATAGCTGTTTTTTTCACAGTGAAGACTTTAAAACTCGTGAGTCAAAACTCGTCACAACACTGTGACTTTTCAAGGGAATAAAACTTCAAAGCTGCACACACATGCTTCCAGCTTTGAGGTCATAAGCCTTGTATATTCAGTGTCACTCAACACTTATTCTTATTTTCACATCTGCACTGATACTTCTGGTAAGCTATCCTATTTGTTATTTTCCCATATTTCCCTTTGTTATTTCCCCCATTTTTACAGAAATTGTCTTGCTTTCTTTCCACACAAAACTGTTATCCCATCAAGAATTGTTGCATTTTAAGTAAAAAAAAAAAAATTCTTAAAAATTTTCTCTTTAGAACATATTAAACATTCGATAAAACTAAATAATCTTCCAATTGCTTGTCAAAACACTGTGAGATATCAAGCTATATTGTTCTAGTGGAAGGATACAATACTTCAGAAGGTGCTCTTTTCCTTCTAATTCTCCCAAAATTTTCTCTCTCATGGCCTTTAAAACTGCATAAAAGAATCTAGCACACCAAAGTTTGCTTTGAAGCATTAATCTACTTATATACTGGCAAGTTTTACTTAGTGTCAATGGTTAATCAAGTTACTACAGAGAGAACATCTTAAGTTTTTTAATTAGAAGTCTAATTAAAAATTTTATTGGCTGACTATAATTCAAATTTATCAGTGTCACAACAAAGTACACAAATGTCTAGAAGAGTTTTAACATCTGATTAATTGTATCTGATAACTATTAACTAATGTATAATATATCGGCATGTGGCGTGTTAATCACTCCTTGAGGTATAACTCTGGAGAAGAAAGATTAGCTAGGGATTTTACACGGGAAAAAAGCTTTTTCTCCTGATACTAACATTCAATACAGGCCAACAAAAGAAAAAAGACCCCTAAAACAAAGTGGTTCTATGTTTCCCTGTGGAATGAACATGTTCTTGCTGCCTGTACTGCTGCCAGAGCTCAAGCTGATCAGCAAGTAAACAAATTAACTCAGAACGCTGACACAGTGTCAGAAAAAAAATGTCTGAGTTTGCCCACACAGAGCCCATTCACTGTACTAAAATTAGCCTCACAGTACTATCAACAATGTTTCCAGGTCTGGCTGTACCCCTGAGTAGAAAGTTATCTAACTACAACAAAAGTGTAGCATTAAGAAATACTAGCAGTGCTTACTGAGACAGGTGCCTTACTTCCCAGAAAGTCTCACAAACGTGCTGCAGAGGCAGCATTTCCCACAAGGACTTAAAAGAGTGGAAGGAGGTATTAACGTTACAAAGAGACTTTCGTCTCCCTCAGAGAGAAATCTATTTTAACAAGGTAGGGAACCGTAGGGGTGTGATATTGGAAGAACATTATGCTGAGAACAAGCAGCAGGACCTTAACTGTCACAGTCTGCTTTCCCATAGCGTGGAAGAGTTAAAATAAAAGTCACGGGTATTTTCCTCTTTGGGAAATGGTCCAACAGTAACTTGTATGCAGAAACATAAAATCTGAGGAAGAAACATAGCCACTAGGAGAAACAAAGACTCTCGCTGACCTGCATGTATTTTGAAGTCTTTGACTGGCACTGAACTAGCTACATTGCCAATGTGAGTCAGCATGTCTTCTGAAATGCCAGTTGGAGGACAAGACATGCTCTTGGGTTCTCCATCCACATTGAAGAATCCTGGAAGGAAAAGATTTGGTGAGACATTCAAGGACTAATTAAGAGATATCTGCACAATCTACAATTTATTTAACAAATCACAACTCTTAAAAGACATTCTGAGCGGTAGCCTAAACATAGTTCTTCACCTTTCACTGGGAGACACAATGATTTTGATTGCCTGTATGACAACAGAACTTGATCTTACAGGCACACCATGATCTCTTTTGTTTCTGCTTTCACTCCCTGTGAAGTCCAACTGCACAGGCAGACTCAGTCAGTACAAGGCATATGGCACCTCAGTCCCTCAAACAAACCAAACAAACCTAATAAAACTCGAAATCAAAAAAACAAAGCATAAGATGTACTCCTTCCTTCTCGGGGCACAGATAGTTAACTTTATAGGAAAAACACTTCTCTGCTAAATTGAAAAGACATCAAGTCACACCTTACTTTGCATGCTTTTAAGAAAAGCATCTCTTTCAAGTTGATCCAACCGAAGGTTTCATTTACCATTAACAGGGGCAAACCAAAGGTCACATATTTTAGTTTAAAGAAACACTACCTCATAAGAATCATTTAAGAGTCCTAAACATGGACTCAAAAGCACAATAATATTAACACAAAGGTAAGTGAAAGGACACTTCTCACCAGGCCAAGGTGAATCAAGCCAGTGCTTAATATGCAGGAGCTTATTATCCTTAGATCTCGTATATGCCTCTTCGCAAATTCTATCATACTTTGCAATTTCTTCCTGTAGGAGAAAAACGTTTTAAATGGCAAAAAATAACACCCTTGTATCTTACAAATGATACCTATTGTTCAGTTTGATAAAACAGTTATCTAACTTGTGAACAAAATTTAGTTGCAATTACGGAAAACATTTTATCTAAGATCAAACTGCCTTCTAAAAACATGCTTACCAACACTACACAAATCATGTAGTTTACTGAATGGGTGTTACAGAGGAGAGTACCACGAGCTGAAGTTGCAAGCACTACTCTAGAATGAGACAGAACTGAAGCATCAAACGTAATTTACAGTCATACCTCTAAGATCAGCATTATCCAGTTCTCAAACTTCAGGCTACAGAAGAAGCCACTAAAGACCAAAAAAGAATCTCCTAGAAAACTAGTCTGGCTAGAAGAGTGTAGCAGAAAATCTGCTGGCCACACCTGTCGATGGCAACAGATACAAAGGCGTATGCTGTAGACACATTTTGCCTTTACAATATCTGTGTTTCAATTCAAAAGCACACTCAAGTTACTGAGATAGCTAATACCTGAAGTAACGTTCAGCTCAGTCTGCTGAGCAAAACACGCATCTAGGATCCTGGATCCAGTCCCCAAAGCCCATGCCACTACTAGCACATTCTTACAATGACTGAGGAGAGCTTGCTCTGCATGAGCTGTGATCACTCTTGTCAATAACAGAAAGCACCTACACAAACCGCTTTTTTTGGTAATCTGTAACTGTGCCACACCTCTTCAGAAGGTCCTTTGTTGCATCTGCACTCTACACATTCACTTTCAAAAAGCTTAAAGTAAAGATCTAACCAACTTAATAGAGGCATCAGATCGTACACTTCATCCTCTGGAGTATTTCACACGATTTCTGAACCCCGTTGCATTATTGCAAGAAAATAAAAAGGCTGAACTGATGTTATTGCGTTATTGCTGGATACAAGCATGCCAAGGTTACCAGTATTAAGCTACAATTATCCCTATGAGCATTCAAATACTGTCTTACTGCTAAATGAAGATTCTAGAGATGAAGAACAGCTGACAAATGCCTCCATCTCCAACATTCACATCTGATCACCTTTTAGAAACCTCAGACATGAAGTGAATTTTTTCAGTGCAATATGTATTAATTACTTCATGGCCCTTTCAGTCCTCTTGTTGTAACAATACTATTGATTTTACGTGAAAACTCAAACCAAATTGAATCAGAAAGTGTCAAAGGGTGAAGACTGATCACAGTAATGAAAGGAAGGGTTTTAAGCAGACACCATACGGTGAACAGTTGTGTCTTCTTACTATCAGCTTCTTAAGCACTCTTTAATTCTGTTGACGTGTACCTCAAATTCCTGCAGTGTCACAGTCCCATCCGCAATCAGTTTGTCAGCATACTTCTTCAGCACCGGCACCTGCTTATGAATCTGCTTGTACATGAGCGGCTGGGTGAACATCGGTTCATCCATTTCATTGTGCCCTCTCCTACGGTAACAAACCTACAAAGGGAAAGTGTTTTTGTTGGTAAGGAAAAAATGTAAAGTGAAATCATTCCATTTCATAGTTTTACAAAGATTTTAGGAAATTTATGGTATACAAACATTTACAGATTCTTGTGGGCCTTAGCTGTCTTTTTAAAAAGGAAAAAAATACAGGCCATTAAAATCAAAATATGTTTCTTGACTGGGTCTTCTAAGCCACAGGAAAATAATAGATGAGTACACAACACACAGAATGAAAAGTTAAGCAAACTAAGACTTACCAAGTCAACCACAACATCTTTATTGAACGTGTTCCGCCATTCTGCAGCTACGCTGCACACATACATCACTGCTTCAGGGTCATCAGCGTTCACGTGAAAAATGGGAGCATTGACCACACGAGCAACATCAGTGGGATATGGAGATGAACGGGCCATACGGGGGTCTGTGGTGAAGCCAATCTAAAAATTCCAGAAACTTCCATTAAAATAATTTGAGCATCTCCCTCCACTTTGTTTTGAACACTTGAGGTTTTCATTTACTATTCATTTACACAGCAGTAGTATCAGTTTTTCATTTGACCTAGCTAGGTTCTTTTTGCTCCCTTAAAAACAAAGCAAACCTAAACTAATGAGTATTACAAATTGAACTAAATAAATGTAGGTGACAAAATATTATCCATTCAGATTTGCTAGGTACTAGAATAAGTTTCAGGAGCATCCTATCCATTCTAATAAACAAGAGTATGTATCCAGCTAATAACAGACAAGAATAAAAAGAAATACACAAGAAAGTATTCAGCAGGTGATTGAAAAATGTTCTTCTTGTTACCTGGTTGTTGACCACAACGTGAATAGTGCCATTTGTGGTGTAGGATGGGAGGTCACTAAGATGAAATGTCTCATAAACCACTCCTTGTCCTGCAAAGGCAGCATCCCCATGTAACAATATGGACATAACCTATTAGGGAGGATTACACACACATATTCACACATACATTAGTATGCAAAACTGCAATTTGAACTGCTCAGCAGGATTTCTTTCCTCCATATTTCTGTAGTACTTAGAGAACTGTATTCTTACAATAAACTATAGATTTCCCAGCATTCTGCTGCCTTTGTTCAGCTTGCAAATGGAAGTTTTAAGTCTACTTCCTGAAGTTACCCTTGGGGCACTATGTCAAAAACCTTATCTAGCTCAACAGGCGATATATCCCATTTGTGAAGGAGGAAGAGAGGAAGAATCTCCAATACAAAACTACTGGTACACTGTTTTATTAAAACGAATATTAAAAACTATCAGTGAGAGACAGTATATTAAGCAGTCTTTACCTTCTTCCCTGCCGTATCCCCTCGATAAAACTGTTCAGCTTTTGTTTTCCCTTGCACAACAGGATCAACTGCTTCTAAGTGAGAAGGGTTAGCCATGAGGGACAGTGTGATTTTCTTGTTTGTTGCTCGGTTGATCCTCTCATGATACATTCCCAGATGATATTTTACATCCCCAGATCCCTAAAATGCAACATGTAGTCATGATTCAGGAATGTCATTTGTACCAGTTGTATCCAATAGATTACGCCTAAAATTTGTGCTTAAGCCTGAAAAATGCGCCTAGCTAGTTGTAAATCACTATGCACTATGGGTTTGATGCTGCAACTGGAAAACTGTTCCTATTTTATTACCTTAGCATCACTATCCAACATTGGATAATTATTTACAGAATATTGATGCTAATTTCACTTATACAACACAAAGATAGATGCTTAGATATTATGATCTTCATCAAATGACCTGCAACTTAACTATCTCCAATCATTCCTGAGATACTTCTGCATGGTAGAGGCACAATACAGTCTTAAAATCTGTTAAGAAATTTCACTAAATCATATACCTCAAACTAGAAAACAATGCGTCACAGCAGCTGACAAAGTTATTTTCATAACAGCCATGACCAAAATGACTAAAAACTACCTTGAATGTTGACTTCTCTATATAGATCTATTGAAGAAGCATCTTACCTCATCAGCTGCTTCAAGTTTGGGATCAAACTGACAGAAGATCTGCTCCAGCTCTTTTCGGATCACGTTAGCCAATACATTCAGCCTACCTCTAAGAAAATTTCAAACACAGTTACATCTCAGAAACGGTAATAATAGAGTTAACAGCAAAAAACTTATAAAATCAGCAAGTCACTGTCAGACATAGGCAAGTAAGAAGTTCAAACTTTCAACCCTGAAACTCCTCATTCTATCCTTCTCCTTCCCATTGCAATGTTCCTCCAATGCATTCCCACAGACATTTTATACATGAATAACTAGATGTTATGAGCAATGAATTTTGCAGCGACCTAGCAGTCTTAGCTAATACTTAATTAAGGCAAACTGCAAAAGTAAGTTTGATGTTGTTTTGGCCGGCTTTCTCAGTTCCAGCCTCTATGCAACGGGAGAGATGCCTTTGCTTCCAGCTTCAAAGCACATTGAAGGGAGTTTTGCCAGCATTTACCTGTGAAGCCTGTAGCCTCTCACTGACATGTTATTTGTTACAGTTCTACGTTCCCACTACGCGCTATGACTGACTCTTGTTATCCTAGCTTCTCTAGTATCAACTTTCTTCATAAAATTCTAGAAATCAAAATTTAAGACAATAAACCCATTTGCTGAAGGGGTTCCATTACCTATGAGGCATGCCCATTATAACATACTCGATTCCCATTTCACTGGATTTATCAATGATGGTCTTAAGTGCCGGAATCATCACTTCACATCCTTCCAAACCAAATCTCTTCTCAGAAGACCACTTGCGAGCAAGGAAGTCTTCAAATCTTTGCCAAAAAGAAACCCCCCAAAAACCCAAGAGAGAGTGTTTGTATTAAGATAATGTAGCAAATACTTATTGTCAAACATCTTTTAGTAAATAAAATTACATTAAACTGTGAATACGTGTTTTTAGGCCTCTGGAATTAAGTACATATAGGGAGGAAGACACAGAAGAGAATTAAGCCTTCTTTCTCCTCCACATGATAAGTGTTTACCAAGACTTTGAAACAATTTAGACAGGAAGAAGAGCCTCCATCACAGAAAAAATTCACTTCCCAAGTTAAATTCTTCTCCTTGCCATGCACACAAAATGTATACTGACCAGCAGGAAAGCAGGGTGACAGTAAATATGTCTCTTCTATGAACTGAGGAAAAAATAACAGAGAATCTCTAGTTTCTGGAAGTAACAATGAAATATTTGTAGAACATCACAGTAGAAAGCACACCTATTTCCTAAGTCCTATTCAATGGCAGGGCTCCTCAGACTATGGGATGTAACGGCTGGTAACGTGCCAAGAACTGGGACACTGGTATCTCTGCCTCAGCTTCAGCA